CGCGACTCCGCCGGCCGTGTGGAGATGGCTATGGTTGTGAAACCGCACGTCGGTTACAGTCCGCCGTGTCAGAGTGGATAGAGGTGGAAACTACTATAGCCCGATCATAGGAAGCAACCAACCTTGAGGCACGAAATCTCCACTCTTTGTAGAAAAAATACAAGTTCCACTTTTTAAAATTAACTTAGAGATAAGAAAATTTGAACGATTTGAGAAGTAGGAATAGAAAACACAAAAGATATTTAATATTTTTTAACTTATTTCCGAAGAGCATGAGATTAGTTTAGTGAAAAAATGTAACTTGCACTTTTAAGAAAAAGGCAATTGCGTGAGTGTGAAAAACAGCCAGCTGCACCAAGGACCAACATTCTTATCACATAAATATTACGGGCCTCACCGAAATACCGAAAAAAATAAAAATTCTTTCATATTTTATTATACTTCCATTTTTAAGTTCAGTATATAAAACTAACTCTGAAATTTAGTTGTTTGTGGACTTCACATGAAATTTCTATATAGAGCAAATTTATAAATTTGTTCTAATTTGACTCCAAAGTTCATAAATAAAATAGACTTGTACTATATATGCACCTAAGAATTATGCTCAATTATTATTTTGATTGTGTATATATAATAGTTTTTTATTTTTAAATAGTAAGACGTATGTATTTTTGTAGCATTAATTCCAAAAATTTAGTATTTATTGACATCACATGGAGTTCATGCATATTAAACAAAAATTCATTACGGACCTGCAATAATAATATCGTTCCCACCACACGAGCAAATTTCTTTTTTTGCGAAGATGATGTTTCATAATTGTCGCGAGTCCAAAAATGTAATAAACGCATGCTTTTACATGGTATCTCTCTAGCTCTAGCGTTTATAGCAACATCGAGCCAGAGAGCTCTGTTGCGTTGACAGCAAGGTTCCTTGTATTGCTTTGCTCCTGGATCACTCGCGACCCCCCTCTCCTCCATATCGCCTGCTGGCTCACCTGGATCTGTTCATCCTCCTCTAGCACGGTCTCACATCCATTCCTTCCCAATCCATTCCATGGCTTCTCTGTTCCTCCCCCGGACGACCACCATCTCGCCTCCTCCACCCCGCCGGAGCCATAGACTTTTTCTTCTGGAGGAGGAGGGTTCGGACTGGAGCACTCTGCCGGAGGAGTCCCCTGAGCATATAGGCAAGATGCTCCGATCGCGCTGCCACGCCCTCCAGTTCCGGTCCATCTGGCGTGCAACCTCCTTCGGACCTCGTCCTGAAGCTCCCATTGCGTGATTCCGGTGACTGTGCGAAGATGGCAACGCTGGTGTCTGGTGAGACCACCGTTGGATGCAGTATGTCGAGTCAGTGTGGACAAAGGGGAAAACTAATATACACCTATCATAGGAGGCACCCAAGCTTGGGACACGAAACATCCACTCTTTGCGGAAAAAGTGCAACTTACATTTCCAGAATTGACTTGGACATATAAAAATACAAACGATTTTGGAATTAGGATTAGAAAACACAAATGATATTTTCTTGTATCTAAATAATTTCTCAAGAGCATTACACTAGTTTATTGAGTAATGTAACTTGGACTTTTAAGAAAAGGGCAACTGTGTGAGTGTGAAAAACAGCCAGCAGCACCAAGGACCAACTTTTTTGTCACATAAATATTCCGGGCCTCACTGTAATATCAAAAAAAAATCTGATTTTGTTATACATGCATTTTGAGTTAAATATATAAAACTAACTCCGAAATTTAGTTGTTTATGGACTTCACTTGAAATTCCTATACATGACAAATTCATACCTTTCTGTAATTTTACTCCAAAATTCATTAGATTTATACTACACATCCATCTAATAATTATGCTCAATTATTATTTTGATTATGTATATATAATAGATTTGCATTCTTAAATCTGACCTATATATTTTCTTTTGTAACTTTAATTACAAAATTTTAGTATTTATTTACAATCACATGGAGTTCATAAAAAACCAAAATTCTTTTTTTTTGTGGGTAAAAAAAAACCAAAATTCACCATGGACCTGCAATAATAATATCATGGCCACCACAAGCAAATTGTTTACTTGCGGAGATGATTTTTGAGAATTTGCACGAGTGTAAAAATCTGACCAAGAAAAATGAACGATTCATCCCAGCAAAAGAAGAAATGAACAAGGAAAATTATTTTGCCTATGTAAACGCACGCACGTGTGAGTTCGGTTTACTAACCCAGTGCAGATTTGTTAAACGAAACTACCGGGGCTCCCGACCTTCCCCGACCTCCCCTTCCGCCTAGGGTTCCCGCGCCGCCGCCGCTCGCCTCTCCCACTCCCCCGCCCCTCCCCCCACCTTCTCCCTTCCCCGTACCCCCCGCGTCGCCTCCCTGGGCAAGGCGACCGAGGGGCCCCTCCGCCGCTCCCCTCCAGGCTCCCTCCTTGCTCCTC